TACCAGTAGCAGTAGCAGCGGTAGTAGTAGTAGTAGTAGTAGTAGTAGCAGTAGTAGTAGCAGTAGCAGCAGCAGGAGCAGGAGCAGGAGCAGTCGTAGTCGTGGAGTCGTAGTCGTAGTAGTAGCAGCAGCAGTAGTGGTAGTGGTAGTGGTAGTGGTAGTGGTAGTGGTAGTGGTAGTGGTAGTGGTAGTGGTAGTGCCCATGACGTAACGCTCAAGGGACTTCGTAAGTAAGGTCAGACGTACTCTGAGCGTCGCTATATGCAAGTTTGTATGACTCTAGGTACCAGGCCCCCCTGCTCCTTCCTAAAGCCTTCACACTTGAGACCCCACAACAGTCCTATAAAAACCCTGTAGCTGCTCTAGTCTTTCCAAACCCCAAACCCCAAACCCCCAAACCCTAAGCCGTAAACCCTAAACCCAACCACAACCCTATTAAGAACCTGTAGCTGCTCGAGTCTTGCCAAGTCTCTTCCAAGCACGCCTCAGGACCGCCGAGCAGCTGCGGAGCTTGCTGTCCAAGCCAGGCCGGGTTGATGGCTTTTCGGTTTTTGGTATATTAGATTATAACTATAATAAGGAGCCCCCAAACTGGTATATTATACTGTAATTATAATAAGGAGCCCCCAAATTGGTATATTATACTAAAGGAACCCCAAAAATAGTGTAGGTAATAATAAGGAACCCCCAAAATAGTATAGGTAAATTATACTCTAATTACAATAAGGAACCCCCAAAATAGTATAGGTAAATTATGCTATAATTATAATAAGGAATGCCCAAAATAGTGTAGGTAAATTATGGTAGAAAGTTTAGTGCACAGGGTGCAGTGCTCGGGGCACAGGCTCAAGGGCTTAGCGTTCAGGAAGGTTTAGGGTGGAGGATTCTTCCCAACGGTTGGTACATATTCTGTAGACATGCATGCGTGCGCAATTAAAGAGTTGTGTCATCAATTTGCTTGATTATCTTCATCTCCTTCCAGTATCCTGGGAGCTGAACTGGTAACGGCTTGAGCTCAGACTTGCTGATTTCAGTCAGGGTCCTAGGCTTGCAGGCATGGCGCGCATTTTCTTTTGCTGCTTCTGTATTGCGTTGCGATTTGAATTCTGGTGCCGTTGCTACGAATCTTAGCCTGGTGGCTCTGGAATTGAAGACATGCATGCCACACACTGATGGCATTTGGACCCGAAGCCTTGAACCTCTTTTCGGCACATCCCCTTAACCGCAAGCTTTCCAAACCTTCAGTTTCTAAAAGCTTCCATCGAACTTAGATCCCAGAGGTAGAAACCCTAAACCTGTAGTATTACTCTTATTCGACTATGCCGGCTTCACCAGCAACCGAAGCCCCGAGCAGCGCCACGAGCTTCAGGGCGAGAAGATCTCCTGGAGATGTACTCCGATGACATCGCAGAGCTCCTTGGCCCAATGCAAGAGCTTGGGGCTTCGGGCTTCGGGTTTTTTTCGTGTTCAGGGGCTTCTCGTATGGGCTAGGGGCTTGAAGTCAAGGTTGACTAGGGTTTAGGGGGTTTGGGGTTTTGGATGTAGGTTGTTGTAATAGGTTGAGAGTCTTAGCGAGGAGTTCAGGGTAGATGCCTTTGCAAGTGTGCGGGGATCGTGCCATAAAGAGCGAGACGACAAGCTTAAGGGCTTCGAACACTCCTACAAATTACTCTTCCCTGGTACAGCCACGACTGCTGCTACGGCCATGACGATTGCTACTGCTACTGCTACTGCTCCTGCTCCTGCTCCTGCTCCTGCTCCTGCTCCTGCTCCTGCCCTGCTGGTGCTACTGCTGCTGCTGCTACTGCTACTGCTACGACTACTACTACGACGACGACGACGACTACTACTACCATCGGACTAGTCCATTGTTATGGTGTGTATTTCTTTCTTGGCCAGGTTTTCCATCCCCGTCGGCCTAAGCGCTGGCGAAGAGGAGGTCCAACGAGATGGCTTGTTTGTTTAGGGTTTGGGGGTAAGGGTCTGGGCCCACGAGTTTAAAGTTTCGGTAGTTTGCTACCTGCTAGAAGAGATGTTGCCAATCTTACCTTAATGCCGTATGCAGAGCGATGCGAATCACTCACCAACGCAGTCCGATGTCTAAGAACAACAACACTGACACTACGTTGCGAAGCAGAGAGCAGCAAGGAGTGTGGCTTCCGAGTGCATTGTTTTCGGGTTGAAGAAAGCACTACTTAAGCGCTAGGACGACTGAAAATGAAGCCACTCGAACCCCTGATCCTCAAGCTCATTGCCAAAAGCTCGAGCCCTAAGCCCGTAACCTGTTGAAACCGAAACCCGTTTTCCATTGTCAAGGGACTAAAGGAGGGACCCTTAAAGGGACCCAGGGGTTTATATAGGAGGTACCAAAGGGTCCCTTCTAGGGGTCCCTCCTATTGTCCCTTAACATTGCAAGCTCCAGGCCCTCGAACCTCGCTTCGTGAGCTGGCTGGGCTTGCATGTGTGATGCCAGTACCACTGTGTTTAGGGTTTAGGGGTTAGGGGTTTAGGGTTTAGGGGTTTAGGGTTTAGGGTTTAGGGTTTAGGGGTTTAGGTGACGACCAAAAAGTAAGGGCAACAATAGTAACAATGGCAGCTGCAATGAAAGGCAGGGAAATGATGGCAGCCGTAGTAGTTGGCATAATTGCGGTCGTAGAGGGCGTAACAACCGCAGACAGTGATATGGTGTAGGAGATACCGCTTGGCTTACGGTATGCGAGTTAATGTCGCGAGCTGGCAGAGGGTTGCAGACTGCACTAATAGCCGCTAGATTGAACTGCTACTGATTGTCTTGGCTCACGGTAGCATGCAGCGACATGACACAACAGCAAGTCTCACCATCGAATTTGGCAAGAAATGCCGCCATCGAATTCACTTGTGCCTATCGCAATCGCCACTCAAAAGACGCTTGTGGCTGCTTTGGCAACTGTGCTGCTGACCCACTCACGATGCCTGCAGTTTGCATTGGCAGCTCAGATCTCAAGAACCCCATACCCTAAAACTCCAAAGCCATAAACCCAAAACCCTAACCGCCAAAAACCTCCAAAGCCAGAAACCCAAAACCCTAACCCCCAAAAAACTTCCAAAGCCATAAACCCGAAACCCTAACCCCAAAAAAAACTCCAAAAGCCATAAACCCAAAAAGCCCCAACCATGGTTGTGACACCGGCAACATGAATGTGATCTTCATCACATTCCCCAAAACCTCCAAAAACCCATGAGAAGCTAAACCCCTAAACCGCCAAACCCCTAAACCCTAAACCCCTAAACCCCCCCTAAACCCCTAAACCCCCCAAAAAACCCTGACCCCCAAAAACCCCTTAACCCCAAAAAAACTCCTAAACCCCCAAAAACCCCTAAACCCCCCAAAAACCCCTAAACCCCCAAAAAAACACCCCTAAACCCCCCCAAAAAAACCCTTTAGATCCTGAGTGAAAGGCGCTGACCCAGAAGCTCCAAAAGCACGGCTTGGCTTAGACCTCGCTTTTCCCCAGGCACCGAAGAGTCCGGGGAGTTTGAAGGGTTTAGGTTTTAGGGTTTAGGGTTTAGGGTCTAGGTTTTAGGGTTTAGGTTTTAGGGTCTAGGGTTCAGGGTTTAGGGTTTACTTCTTGGGTATTTCGATGTGGATTTTGATTGGTTCCATGGGGCTTCATGTGTGGTTGTGTTTCAACAGGGTTGTGCTTGGCTTCTGCAGCAATCAGGGTTGTTTTTGAGATGCAGGGCTTGGGGTATCTCTGAGAAAGTTCCTTCTTTCATAGGCATAGTATAGGGGCCTAAAGAATTACCTACCCTATTTTGGGGGGCTCCTTATTATAATTGTGTAATCATCATACTCTGCCCACCCACACAGGCGAGCACAGCCACATCTCAAGGCTGCCTCTACGAATGTGACGCGTGCACCCTAAGGGCTGTGCACATCATGTTCCACACTCCCCTCAAGCTGCTGACTTCTATGGGCAGCAGGTTGCAAAGGAAATGATGTCACAGCCATTTCTCCGATTTTTCTGTGTCCACGGTCGCCTTCGCTGGGCTCCCCTGGTTCCACAAGTGCTAGTGCTTTGCAGGTTCCTGTGTGGGAGACAATCCTTTTGGTTTTTGCCCCCTGCTGCAAAGTCTTGCATCAACCGTCCCCGGTGGTGGGCCGGCTACGCAAACCCTTCCCCCAGCTCAGCCTTCCACCTGGCGTAAACCAAGCTTCTTTCAGGCGCGCCCGTGCTCGACACCACGCCAAGGACCTAGACATTACACAGTGGCCGGCAAGTCCTTTTCCTTGCCCAGCATGAGCTTGGGCTCATAACCTGTTGACGTTCTGAACCTCCATCCCCACTGTTACCCAAAGTAGCAGTCTCACCGGGAGGTAGGTCATGAAGATTGGGATTTGTAAGCCCATGATCACCTTCACTAGTCATCCGACCATAAACGCCTCGAAATCTTAGTTGAAGGTCAGTCACAGTTGGCAAACCATGGAGGCAAACATTGACACCTAATTTTTGCGGGCACACAACGAGAATCTGTGCTGCCTCTTACAGCTAGATTGTCATGGCCTTTGACATGTGAACTCAAGGCGTGGAGTCCTCCATGAACCTTCTGAGCCCATGCACTCCATCAGATAAATGAGCGAGCATGCCCAGCTGTACAATCACTTCCCTGGGATTTCACAATAATTATAGTATAATGGACTCCAAAACTCTATTCTAAGTATTGAGGCCCCTATATTATTGCTAGGGGTTTCTTGTGTTCAGGACTCATACGGGAGCCTGGAGTTGCTACGTATTTTCGGCCGCTTCAACTCCCTGGATTCAGCAGGCATGCGACATGATCCGCTGTCCACTCGTTTGCAAGCCATTATAGGGGCCTCAATAATCACCTATATTATTTTGGGGGTTCCTTGTTATAATTATGCTATAAAGGACGCCAAAGCCCTATTCTAATGATTAAGGCTCCTATATGACATGGTTCGGGGGTGCGAGGTTCAGGGTTTAGATTCAGATTTGGCAGCTGCGCATCACCAACGTCTTCGTGCAAGCTTGCGGCTGCATGCCAACCATCCTTGAAGCTGACGAGAACTCCGGGGACGCTCGACCAAGAAAGCCGGAGGGATAAAGCTGAAAACCCACAGCTCAGCACTCATATGATTCCCCGAACCCGATCTCCTGTACCTTACACCGAACAGCCTAAACCCTAAAGCCTAAGCCCAAACTTCAAGCAAGGCTCTGACGCAGCGGTCCCTGAGTGTGGCTGGCAAGCTGTCACTCCTGGAAGGGCGACAGTTCGGGTTTAGCGCTTTGGGGTGGGCGGCAAGAGTATGGAGTTGATAGCAAAGATGTCAGCCCTAAACCCTTGAAATCCTTAAGCCCTAATCTGCTTTGGTTCGCCACTTCAAGGTTTCGGGGGTTTAGGCTTGTTTGAACTACGGCTCAGAGTTGGGATTAAGTTTCGGTTGCTACCCAAGGTCGACCGGCGAAGTCATGGCTATCTGTGCCCTGAACCTTGAAAGCCAAAAGGTGAAAGTCTGACCGACCTATGCCGGGGTGACTCCTGTCATGAAGTAGGACAATACAAACAAAAAGATAGAGCTCGTGAAGAGAGTAGCGAAGCAACCACTGGCACCATGGCAACCCAGAGTTCTTTAACACTTGGGCAATCCTTCAAACAATGCTTACGGGATTCAGAACGTTAAGCCCCAAAAACTGTTGCGACGAATTTGACGCCGACCGCCGCAGCCATGAGCGGGTCTGTTGCACAAGACGGCTCCGGTGCGACATAATTGGAGCTTCTCAAAGTTCTGGATCTCTTTTGAGTTAATCCGTACCATAGCTGATCATAAGGATCCTACAAATTAGGAGTTTCTATTGGGATCCCTCGGATTTGTTTTTAAAACCCCTAAATGGGTTTAGGTTCAGGACATCGAATCTGGCTGCAGTAGACACACCTTCCGGTTGATGGACAAGGATTTGGGGCGAATTCTTGTATAGTCATAACGGACTACACGTGGGCATGTAGTACTGATGACTCAGTATTCAGGCAACTATACTGTGCTTTGGGGTTCTCGGTGAAGCAATGTGGTCATCGGACTGTCGGAATGCTGTAGTCTGGAGTTGTGATGCAGCTTATGCCTTCGCACGCAACGTGCGACCCACAAGAAAAAACGAATTGCATGCATACGCGTGCCCCCTGCATCTTCCCAAATATTTGAAAGGAGCTGCATGTGTGTGTGTGTGTGTGTGTGCGCGCAGTACTTGTGTATTTCGCCGCATTTTCCGGAGCTCACCAGCAACGGACACAGACTCAAAGCTGTATACCAAATTGTGTTCTTGTCGAACCTTGGTCTCATGATGATAACATTCTACGGCGAAAAACTCATGTCCCATCAACCCCGAAAACGCTCCAGACTTCCTATCCAGGCTCCCGCATGACGTCCCACAAGACCATATATGGACCGCCTGACATCATAAGCCAGTTGCTGTCGGCACTCGCGGGATGCCTATTCCGACCCCTGGACTCGATGAGCAGAAGCGGCAAAGTCTTCTTGACATTGCTGCTTGTCTAGGTCTAACTTCCATGGGGTCTTGCAGGGGTTCGCAGTGTGGAAAAATGTTGATCGGCAGCTATGCGTGTTCTATACTGCCATTGTACGGGAAGAATGGGAAATTCAGGGCTGACAGGGAATCCCTGGGCTCTGCTATTGGATGCACGGCTTCACCTTGAGGCTGAAGTCAGACTCACGTAACGTTAGATGCGCTTTCCAAAATTTGAACAGAGTGTAATTCGGTTAGCAGTTGCTCATACAACGCAGAAGAAGCCAAAGAGGGGTCCAGAATCTGTTAAACTCACATCAGCATCTGCCCTGAGGCTTTGCGGCTGCTTCTTGCACACGAGCATTTTGCCTAGTTTCCTACCACTCGGCGAGAAAGCTACGGTCGGGGGCTGAGCTGGGCTGAGGCAAATGCATGACTTCACCGCTCCAACACCAAGACACCTTGCTGCATTACTCAAGGTTGTTGCAACGGAGAGCTTGCTTCACCAGCGAAGACAATGCATCCTGTTGTCCTCTGTCCTCGCGGCTGGTCAGCATTCAGCCACCAGCATCTTGTTGAGTTCTTGAGCAGTTTCCCAGCTCGAAATTAGGGGGTTTCCAAAAATAGGGGACCCCAATATAGAACCCTAAATAATAGGATCCTTAATATAAGGACCCACAATAAGGTACCCCTAATTTTCGGAAACTCCCATTACAAGCAGTCGAGTTGAGGTTAGTTTCCCGGGCGCAGCACCTGCAACCGCCACATCTTCGGGCCTGGTCCTTCCTCTGGAATTCGAGAGGGGAGCCTTCCTCCTCAGCTTTCAGGCCAGCGCCAAGCTCTCCTGGCACTCCGCAAAGAATAATTTCTGAACCCAGACCTGCACCCCTGGACATTCTATGACACTGAGTGAGGAAAAGCACAAGATTTCCCGAAAGGCGCCAGAAGTGACAGTCTCACGCAGGTTGGAGAGTCTACTTTTCGAGGGGTTGCGGACACCGGCAGTCCCTTCCTGCTTGTGGCCGCTTGTGTGGGCTCTCGTCGGGCAACTGGCCGCTGCAAAGAATCCCAGATCAAGTTCGACACAGTCACTGTTGTGGTTTGAGGTACTGCTGTGTGTCGTTTTGTGATAGTTTCTTATGATTGTCATGATGCAGAACGAGTAACCTCTCAAGCACAGGACTACTGCTCCCGATACGGGTGCAGTCAGAAGGATGTTGGGAGACCATCAGGGCTGGATGACAACATCGTATGCTTCGCTGGAGGGTATGCAAGAGATGCTTGGCTGCTCTATTATCCGGCCTTGTCGGTTCATCTAATCTTGGCCGGGATGTATAGGCGCAAGGAGGATGATCGCTGTGTATGAAGCAGTTGGGAAGTGGGTGTGGACATCGGTTGGAGTTGGAGCTAGAGGGCCCAATGATAAGAATGATAAGCATGGCAAACCCTGTGACTTCAGAAAGCTGATGCAACCAGCGCTTAACCTGTTTTGTTCGGCCGAAATTTGCAAAACCAGTGTGTGTTTTCGCAGAGGGGAACTTGCTCGATGTCTCCGGACCCTGATTTCGCTTGTGGGATACAAGAAGCGGCCATGATATTGTTGTCCCCGTTCTCCGCTGAAGCAGGTTTTCGTGCTTTGAGATACTGTAGATCATAAGGTGCTCAGGTGCTCAGATCAAACAATCTGTTTTGCCCAGGCTGTGTGGCGCTGTGGGGATGTGAAGCTGGGCCAGCGTCTTTTTCCTGGCCGCACCTTTGGCGTACTTGGTGAGACGCAGAGTTTTGGTGGCAACGCCGGTGGGCCCAACTTCGGTCTCATCAAGTTTGCCACTGCAGAAGATACCGAGATCCGACCGACTTTCCTCAGTCAGACGCCTTACGAAGCTCTAGTTTTCGACTTTACAGACATGTCCAATCCTGTGCTGGAGTTGACGGATGGGTTGCCGCAGCAAGTGGATCGGCAAAATACGACCGAAGCCTTTCTCACCGACCTGAGGCCCTACGGCACGGGCGTAGAGTATTATGCCGTTGCCGTCGAGAAGCTGCTCGTGGATGGAGTAGACATCCTAGACGCTGTAAAGCCGACGGTTGCCATTCTGGACACCGGGACCACTGGCCTGGTCTTGCCGAAGTCGCTGTTCTTGTCCTTTGACGAAGTTCGACGAGTCAGTGCTCAAACTGTGGGCATCAAACGTGCAGGTAACGTAGAAGTTCGACTGACGCCGGTTCCAGGCAGCGAGAATGGCGCATCTCTGAATCTGCGCCGAGGGCGCATCGCCGGCTTGGATGCATCTCTTGACATCGTAACTCCCCTGGCCGAAGATGCTGGCAGTGTGTTTCTGAGGGCAGAGATGCGAGAGATGCAGGAAAAGCAGGCTTTCAACAACAACAAGAAGGTTGAAAGACCAGCTGTGATCTTTCTGGGCTTGGGATTCTTCGCCGGATTGCGATGCTTGGTAGCCAGCAACCCTTTGAATTTGGTTCGTGCTCTTGGTTCGCTTGTTCCGTTCAAGCAAATTGCTTCTGCATAAGGAATGCGCATTGACACAGTCGCTGGCAAGGTGACCTTCGCTTGAAAAAGGAAAACCTCCAGGTCCTATTGGTTGCAAGACATCCCATCTACTGTAGATAGTTGACGTCACCTGTATATCGAAATATATCGGAATATTGGACGAGAGATAAGTCTCGAAATCCCATGAAGCATTCGACGATTCTTGGGATTACAGTCAACCACGGAAGACATAACCAATCTTGTTGAAGTCCTTGCCCACACAGGGGCAAGGCGAAAGAGGAAGTCGTAACACACAGCGTCCACACTGGGGGTTGCAGGGTTTAGCAAGCTAAACCCTAATCCGTAAACCCTAAACCCTAAACCCTAAACCCCTAAACCCTACACCCTAAACCCTTAAGTATTCCTGCGTCGCACCCACCCTGCTCGGATCCTTGTCGTCAATGGGGGAACGATTCCGGAGAAGTCGCTCCCACAAGCGTTTACATGGGGAACATGACTGTGGATGTAACCTTGATCATGCATGCAGCGGTGGATGCTGGATTCGTCAAGGAAATAATAGCACAGAAACAGTTTAGGAAGTCGTATGGGCCAGAGAATTTGTCGTGGCACGCTAGGTCGTTCATGGTATTTGCTTGCGTTTACATGGGTGTTTCGAGCATGTGAGGTGTATGTCTCCACACCTGCTAATGTCCATACAACTACTCCCAACTGTTGGCTTCGCTCTAATCGATGGGCGATTGGCGCTTTTCAACTTACGCCCCTAAGACTGTGAACACCCGAAACCGTGTAAGATTCCAACTCCGATCCTGCTACCGATCTTGCAGATTAGGCATAGCGGCATGGCCTTCATATGTAAATTTCGGGTATCGCGAGGGTATCGCTAAGGTATCGCGGAAGTACCCAACATTCCCCCAGACTTTATGGTGAAAGCACCAAACCCAGCAAATGGAACGACTTTCGCACTTTACAGTAGTACTAGTATTAGCAGTAGTATTAGTCTTCGTAGTAGTATCACTACTCGTACCTGAATAGAATTAGTCTGGTCTTGAAATCGTATTTTAGAAGCAGAGCCTCACAGAATAAACTCTGTCATAGCTCCCGGGTGACTGCTGCTAGTTGTTCTGCTGTCTGTCTTGAGCGGGTGCTTGTGAAATCGAGCGTCTACATAGTTATCCTGTGCCGTGATGCCAATGATGTGTGTCTTGAGCGGCTGCTTCGGAAATCGAGCGTCTGCTTGGGGAATGGTTGGGTTTGAAGTGCTGTGCTTCTACTGCTCTGTGTCATGAGCGGGTGCTTGTGAAATCGAGCGTCTGCATGGGGAATGGCTAGTTATCCAGCATTGTGATGCCTATGATGTGTGTCTTGAGCGGGTGCTTCGGAAATGGAGCGTCTAGTTGGGGAAGAAGGCGAATGTTATGATATCCGGTTCTTTGCAAAAGGAATTTGTTCTGCATTCTTGAATCCAAGCGTTTTACTGCGGCAACGGCTGGATGTTATAACTTTAGCAAAAATTATGGTGCTCCGGAGGTGCACTTGATATATTTTCAGGGCGCGCCTAGAAGACGATTCGATCGCAAGAGATTAATTCAAGATGAGATCCCCTGGAGATCCTACACAAGATAGAAATATATATATATAAAAGATGCATATTCTTCTTAAAATAATTGAATCATTATTCTAAAAAATTTATTGGCATAATATATTATTATTTTGATATCTATTTTTGATTTCGATATAGAAATTGATATATATGATTATAATTTATATATTTTCTTATTAATGATGATTCGAATATTAGAAAATATTTATAAATTCTATAATTATATAATCGTGAAGATGAAATTATAAAGATGAAAAATTCTGATAATTTATTTCGAAAAAGAATCTATATTTTCATAGACATATACTTATTATAAATTCATAATAAAATAAATAAAATAAATAGATTTTAATTATAGAGATTTTGATAAGTCTTTATATTTTTCTTTTTATATTCTCAAATAAAATAAGAATAAATATAAAATTACGGAAAAAA